GTACCTTCAAAATGGACATGTCCCAAATCTAACAACTTACCATGGGTAAGTTAGTTTTCTATCTTTTTGTTGTCAAACATATACAACGAGAAAAAAAAAAATTCTTCCAAATCTTTTATCTACACCAAAACTTCCATACATCATTCTCATTCACATTCCCATCATCTATATGATGAATCCATCTTCCTCCGAACATCCATCGTCCTCTCATTCCTTCTCAGAAGACACCAATATGCCTACAAATTTCTCGAATGGCTTTATCCACTTTCTCATTGGGCATAGATGTTCAACAGATTTTCTTTGCTATTTAAAAATTTGAGAACTTTCCAAGAAAATCTATGTCATCCTTTTGTTTTGAAGGCGATGGTATTTCACAGAGTCAGAAGCCTGTGATTATTTTTCACATATTAAGGAGTATGCAATACTTCCTTTCGACTTACATGCAGACTGGGCAAAACAGATAAAAGAGTTCAGAGAATTTCAAAGGCGAAAGGAAGAAATCAACTTAAAATCCACAAATTTGGCCAGAGATAGAGGATGATACTCCATGAAAACAACTTTTCCTTGATTATGCCACAAGAATTTGAGAAGACATCGATGCTTATATGAAATATAATTAGCCAAACTAGAAATTTCAAACCAAGTCATTCCCTCAAATTTGTACAATGATGATTATTTTCAATAGTCTTGGGATCAACCATATAGTGGAAGACCCAAATAGATTCTTGGGATTACTTGCAAATACTCAAAATAAACTCCTGAGGGAAGAGTGCATAAAGAACTGATGTGAAAAAAATCTACAAAACAAATATGGTCTTTGAAGAATTCACAGTATTGGCCTAGAAAATTATATTTAAGATACTTTTCAAGGCTCACTTAACCATTATGCACTTCAAGATCATCGACGGTATCATAATGAATTGTCATGTGACTCAGATGGCGAACCAACACCACAACTTCGTGACTTTCTTGTTCCTAGATTCTTACTTTAATATAGTAATATTGTTTCGCGCGGGTTAGTCGCTAACAATTAAAAGGGATCAGAAGATTTGTGTAAGGGGCAAACCTCTTGAAACAAAGTTCCAAAAAGGGGTATTGTTTTATTGACGATGACTTTACAATTGGAAATCAAAAACAAAATGCCTCAAAGGGGCGTAAGCACACGAGTTACTGAAAAAAGTGTTTAAGTCTAAAACTAAGGAAATTAAAATTACATGTTTTCTGTTCGAGAGTTTTTGATTCGGTCCTTTGCTCTATGTCTTTTCTCCCTTTTATACTTCATGGACGATCTCTTTGTGATGAACCGCCTAAAAACTGCTTGATCGTTCTGCAACTGCCCACTTTCCTCATAATGGCCAGCTTGTCATGAAAACTGTCTTATTTAACTACTGTCATTACTCTTCGTCGTTCAACCGTTTTCGATTGAATTTCTTGAATCGTGGAACTTGATGGGGCTGCTTTGATAACTGCACTTCTTGATAACCACAACGCTTTATATTTGTTAAGACTTTGGGCGACTTGATGGTTTTGGCGAGAATAGAGTAATAGCTCTGGGCGACTGCATGACACTCCATTCGCTCAGATTCTGGGCGACTTGCAATCTTGGGAGATGGTATTACCACTTTCTTGGGCCTCCCTATTTGGGCCTTCATCTTGAATTGTTTGATTGGGTTTCATTTTTTGGGCTATCTGATTTGGAGATTCTCCAATTGGGCTTCATTCCTTGGGCCATTCGATTTGGGCTAAATTTTTATGTGTCAACAAATATATTATTTTGTAATAAAGAAGATTCCTTCTACAATATCAGTTTGTGTTATTGTTGTACGAGTATGAATTATTATACGATTGTATTAGTTGATTTTTAAAAGACTAGGTTTCTTGCACATCGTGCACACTATATGTTTAAATTATTGATGCATTATGTGATTTTATATAAAAAATAATAATAATAATTTAAAAAAAATCAAAAGGTAATTGACACAAAACGTCCATACCTTTCAAGTTTATTGTAGAAAACGTCCATATCTTTCATTTTTGACATTTTCGCCCTACCTTTCACTTTTCTTTGCGCTAGACATCCTTTTCACCAACTTTTGACGTAACATTACAAATATACCCTCCTATTTAAATAAACAAAAAATAAAGGAAAAACAAAGAATAAATTGCAACTATAGGTCCAAACTTTTAAAAAAGTGCAAATTAGTTCAAATAAATTATTAAAAAAAAAAAAAAAACTCTCTCTCTTCTCTTCTTCTGCTCCTGTCCTCCACCTAGCTATGATTTTCACCACAATCTGGCCACCATTGCCACCGGACCATAGTACCAACTTGAAGCCCTTACTATCGTCTACACAACCCAACAGTTGGCCCTAACTCCAGTTGAATTGGCCGAAATTTCGCTCCAAAATCTGCCAATCGCACAAACTAAAACTGTCGATAGCTCCCTTTTCGACGACTCCCAACCCAAGCCCAACATATTGATAGATTCCCCTCGTCATGATGCATCAAACCATGGTCCCCAAACACCTAATCAATCACCCAATCAACATCTGAAGCCAAACATTTCAAACGCAATCATCACACAGGCTTCAGGCGAAATGTCGACGACTGTGGTGGACATCATGATCGTGAACCACCATACAACGCCCTCTCATCATGGTGAAGCTATTACAACTATGGATCTTCAACAATTTTGCACGAATCACGCAATTGATTTTGGTACAGTTCGAAGCATACGGGTTTACATCCTCTTTCAATTGAGAAGTATTTGTATCAAAGTTTTATCATAAGTGTGTGCGATTGATGGTAGCAGTCTGTCGTGTGAGCTCCAATGATTTTGGCAGCGGTGATGGTGGTGGAGGAGACGTAAGGAAGGGGAGGTAAAGAGGACTGAGAAAGAGTTTTTTTATTTGTTATTTTTAATATTTTAATAATTTATTTGGACTAATTTGCACTGTTTAAAAAGTTTGGGCCTATAGCTACAATTTATTCTTTATTTTTCCTATCCTCATAGCAATACTCATACTAGTATGCTCTGCAGTTATCTTCTTGAATGATCCACTACATAAAAAAAATTAAATAAAAATCATAATGTCGAATAAATGAAGCCATAATTGTTAGAGTCTAGACCCGTTTCTTGTATTCATTGGTGTGGCTTTTGTGAGATGGGAATACTTGTGGTTGCACACGGATGAGACTTATGTTAGATATTTTTATTCTTTGAATAATATCTACTTTATAAGTTCAATTAAAAAAATTACGTGAGGGGTTAATTTCACAAATGGTCACTGAACTTAGGCAAAAATTACAAAACGGTCACTGAAGTTTAAAACTTTCAGTAACGGTCACTTACGTTTCCAGGTGCTTTCAAAAATGGTCACTGAAGTTTAAAAACTTTTAGAAATGGTCATCAAAATTTCAATTTTTTGGGCTACTTTTACAGCAATTTTTCAACCATTTCCGATCATCGATACCGTCAAATTTTGATACTGTTGGAAAGACTACAATGTCCTCTTCAATTAGCACCCAAAATCTCCCCATAATTCCAAGGAATTCGGCCAGAAAATTGTTGCAAAATTCGCCCAAAAAATTGGAAAATCTGTCCAGATTTTCAAATTTTTTGGGCCAAATTTGCAGCGATTTTTCGACGACTTCCGAACACCAAAATTGCCATTTTGATACCATTGGAAAGCCCACAATGTCCTCTTAAATTGACATCCAAAATATCCCCCAAACTCCAAAGGATTTGGACGGAATAAACTTACAAAGTTGGCTACCCAAAAAGGCGAAAATATGGGCTGATTTTTGGGGCTACTTTTGAGGCAATTTTCTGACAACTTCCGACCACCAATGCCACTGGATTTTGATACTGTTGGAAAGCTTACAATATTCTCTTCAATTATCATCAAAAATCTCCCCCAAATTTCAAAGGATTCGGCCGAAATAAACCCACAAAGTTGACAACCCGAAAAGAAGAAAATCTGGATAGATTTTTCAGATTTTATGGGCTACTTTGAGGCAACTTCCGGCCACCAATACCATTGGATTTTGATACCGTTGAAAATATTACAATGTCCTCTTCAATTACAATGAAAAATCTCTCCCAAACTCCAAAGGATTCGGCCGGAATAAACCCACAAAATTGGCTATCTGGAAAGGCGAAATTTTGGGCAAATTTTTCAATTTTTTGGGCGAACTTTGCGGCAACTTTCCGGCAACTTCCGACCATCAATTTTGCCGGATTTTGATGCCGTTGGAAAGCCTATAATCTCCTCTTCAATTACCACCCAAAAATAGCCGGTTTGGTGGTCGGAATTCAGAGGAAAATCACCCAAAAATTTGAAGATTTTCGCAGATTTTCAGATTTTTTTGGCAATTTTTGTGGCGATTTTCCGGCCGAATTCCTTGGAGTTATAGAGAGATTTTGGGTAGTAATAGAAGAAAACATTGTGGGCTTTTCAACGGTATCAAAATTTGGTAGTATTGATGGTCGAAAATGATAGAAAAGTTGTCGCAAAATTAGCCCAAAAAACTGGAAAAAAAATTTCAGTGAGCGTTTCTGAAAGTTTTAAATTTCAGTGACCATTTCTGAAAGTTTTTAAACTTCAGTGACCGTTTTGTAATTTTCTCTATAGTTCAGTGACCGTTTGTGAAATTAACCCATTACGTAAGTTTAAATAGAACTATTACTTAATATCATATAATTATCACTTAAACTATTACCATGACGATGTATTTGATTTTTTAGAAATTATGACTTTTTTGAGCTCCATTCTTTGAAAATTCATTTTTTTAAAACTTATTTTTAATTACTATTTTTTAATAAAATGATATTATACGCAACTCAAGAATTTTTCTTAATTTTAAATCACACATTCTCCATCAATCTAATATTCAAAATGCACTGTCTCCGGCTAAAACAAGGCTATATTCTCTAGTCTCCGTGCAGCCACGTGGACGCCTTGAAATCCACCAACTGCCTACGTAAGCGAAACCTCAACCCAAACCACGTTCAAAATCCAAGACGGAAACCATACGATAATTCCCATCTTTATTCTCACACTCTCCAGCGTAGCTTCACCGTTCGTCCAACTATCAAATGTCTGCCGCTTCGGACGAGCAATTTACGGCTGTAATAAAGCTGAAGCCCATTGAAGCAACTCCCGAGACCTTTAAAGAGTTCGGACAAGTGATTGAGGCGTCGAACGATGGCGAAGAGTTTGGACCTAATGACGCCCAGCTCGACCTGTCCCATGGAATCCCCAGGTCCTATTCTACTCACTCTTTCTTTATGACTGAATATAAAAATATTGATGTGATTCAAATCACAGTCAAATGGGCTTTATGTGATTGAATCCTACTTTGCGTATTCTTTAAGTTCTAAAGCTGTCGTTGGTGATTATGAATAATTTTGAATTGAGTACTATATGAGATAGCTAGAAAGAAAGAGTGTAGATGAATTAAGTCTCATTGTTGCTGTCATTATTATGGATATGCTTTTTAAATTATATGGGTCCAATGATTGATTTATATTTGATTGTTAAATGTTGAAGTTGAATCCTGCAAAATAGGAACTAGGTTAGCCTACTCCATCAGTTGCCGAATAAGGGACTCAGATGCTAAGGAGAAAATATGAAGTAATTTTAACTGAGTTTTTGTTCAACTGGTGCATTTTATTTATGGCAGTTGATTTTGTAGGGGACCGCCTTAATTTGATAATGATGGAAAAGTTGTACCCTTGAACTATGTATAGGCTTTTACTAATTATTGGTGAGATTGGGCGCACCAAGACAACACCAGCCAGGTCTTGTTACAGGTTCGAATTGGTCGATGGGTTAATCATGTGTATATTAGTATACTTAGGATAGTAAATGTTCCCTAAGAAGGTTTGGCATCCTTTTGGGAAGGGAAGCATGAACCTCATACTGGCGCCCAAGGTGGCAATGTCTAGGACGATATTTGCCTACTGGATGGTTTGGGTAGAGAGTGCGGCTTGTTGCTTTGCAGTGTACGATTTAACTTCTCTTTTGTCCCCCTTTTTGTTGACAAGGTTTGGTGTGTGTAAACCATTGTCCTCGGTCAGCTGAGTGAGGTTAGCTAATGTGTCTGATACACACGAGGCCTAACTAAATATTTGTGTCTCCAAATCAATGTTTGAACATCGTAGACTTAGTTCATTATGGATTGTACTGGCGATTTCTGTTGCTAATAGTTATGATTGAGAATGGCCAGTGATGGTGACATTTTCCAATATCCCCGATCAACACATTATCCCAACGACTATTTTTGGTAAAGTTGTAAATCCATCTACGGTGTCCTCGAGCATATGCATCCTCGAGACACTAAGCCCGACCACATCCGCCTGGCTGCTTCGCATATTGCAAATATTTTATCCTCGAGCATCACAGTCCTCGGGCATATGCTCCCCTCACAACCGACGATGGTTGACCCTTTAAAATTCCTACGCAATTAGGACTCTTAACTCCCGCAAGGATTCTATCCCACATATAATTATGGAATTCAACAAACTCCTTAACTATTCAGGACTCCAACAGATGAGGACATCCAGCTAGTTGAGTCTCACTAGGAGAATGTCACTTACTACTATAAATACAGAACCTTGAGCCATTATTCAGATACGTTTTTTCATTGTTCTCCAGCACATAACCTCACGCACAAAATTCCCTTTCTGACTTAAGCATCGGAGGGGCGACGAGAACACACCTCGTTGCCTTTGTTTCAGGTATCGGAAGATCACGTTCGTACTTTGCATCAGTCATCAAACTCGGGAAATCTACAGGTACGATTTTTGGTAGCATCATTGGCGCCGTCTGTGGGAAACGCTACCAAAAGCCATGGTAAACACACGTTCAGGTCTTCCACCAGCAAGCCCATCCGCTCCAAACCAACCCCCTCCTGAGGATATCCCTATTCCTCAAGAGGAATCATCAGAAGTGCCAGAGCCCCAGCCGGCAGACGTCACTGCTGGAGCTTTTGAAGAGCTCAGACAACAGGTCGCCGCACTAACTCAGCTGCTAAGTCAAAGAAATTTGCATCTGTCACCCACACCAGCACCCCAAGGGGGTTTTATGGCTGATGCTCGAGCTCGAGCTCAAAGACATGTCCTTGACAATGGCGGAGCAGGGGCCTCGGGTATACCACATGTGACCTCGGCCTCGAGATCAGTAACCATGGAGTCCGGGGAACTCGCTAGGATTATTCAAGAAAGAATTACGGCAGGCCTACTTCAGGGCAACAAAGGGACGACAAGATTCAGTCCCAACACTCCCTTTACTCCCGAGATATTAACATTCCCCTTGCCAGACAGATTTAAGTATCCTAGGATCAAAGAATATGATGGGACCACCGATCCAATCAATCATCTTAACGTATAAACGGACGTCATGAATCTACAGGTCGCACCAGATCAGGTGATGTGCAAGGCCTTCCCACAAACTTTGATGAATGCTGCTAGGGATTGGTTCTCAACCTTAGAGCCCAACTCCATAGCCTCATTCTCGGATTTGGCGGACAAGTTCTCTGCTTTCTTCGTAAGCAGTAAACGCATCAGGAAGACAGCGACTTCCCTCATGCAACTTAGACAAGGGCAAAATGAGACCCTGCGTGACTTCATGACCAGGTTCAACAAGGAAAGACTTCAGATTCCCGACCTACACATAACTGCAGCAGTTTCTGCCCTCACATATGCCATAAAGTGTGAGGCTTTCAAGATGTCTTTATCCAAAACTCTGCCAAAGACAGTGATCGAGCTTCTTACCCGAGCCGAGAAGTACATAAATATGGAGGAAACACTGGACCCGAGAAAGGTTGGATCATCCCATGATAGGGTCGAGCATAAAAGACAGCACGACCCGAACCCCCGTGAAGAAGAACATCGAAAAAAACAGAGACAGGAGGTTCCCCCGACGTCATTCACGCGTTTAAATACGTCAAAGACCAATATATTGATGGAGATCAAGGATATGAAGGAACTGAAATGGCCTGTCAAAATGAGGTCAACACCAGAGTCCAGGGACATGAACAAGTACTGTGAGTTCCATCGGGATCATGGGCATACCACGAAGAACTTTAAGGCCCTACAACGGGAGATTGAAGCCCTTATTAAAAGAGGACTCCTGAGTTCCTATGTCGGTAACGACAAACGCCCGAGGAATGATCGTGACAGGGAAAAAGCCCCTGAGGCAAAAAGGGATGGTCAACCCACTGCTGGAACTATCAATATCATCATTGGAGGTATTGCCTCGGGAGGAGACTCCAATAGTGGAAG